AGAATGCATCGGTCCCTGACGCAGCTTAATCTCAGATACAAAAGAGACCTGGTGTATTGGTGTAAAGTGCACTGACAATCGAGTGGGACGCCTCTAGCGCGCTTATTTCGTTAGCCATATTCACAAAACTGTATACCACAAATTTAAAGGACCATTAATACAGGTATTTTATACAAAGACCCGAAATAGCAGCTCCAAAAGGGAGAATCAAGTGGGTGTAGGTGTCCATTGTTGCCACACAAACTCAAAAGCGACCACTTCCAGCCATCTATGTCGGGGCCTCAATCAGAGGTCCATACCTTCTTTTGTATCCTTATCGATGATCGGAATCCTTTTTCTGTCAAATTGACACTATCAGCTACAGTGGATAATGTGAAAGATGCAGTCCTCGAGAAGAGGCCTAATGCTTTGAAGGGTATTGACGCAGCCGACCTTACATTGTACCTCACCTGCCTTCCTGAAGATAATCGTTTGGTGCAAAATGTACGACAAAAGTTGTTGGAGAACCCAACCGCACTTGAACCCACAACTACCTTGTCCGAAATCTTTGCCTCCGCCCCGTCTAGCAAAAAAATCCACTTCATCGTTCAAGTTCCTCCAAGTGAGTGGCTTGTTGAGTCTGCCCTGTTCTGGTCTAACCGTCTTCTGAACACTTTTCTCCTCGTCACGCTTGATTCACGCGCTCACATCTATTTCCTTATGACGTTTCAAAACGATTCGTAATGCTCTTCAATATACGTTAGGTAAGTTCGATATCGCCGTGACCCTATTTCACCCCGGTGGCTGATTGCTCCGCTTTGAACCTCTAATATATCGTGCAACCTTGAATCTATGAAATTGGTTATTAATCTCATTCCTGTAGTGATGCCAGGTAGAAAACAACTACATGATATGGTAGACCAATGTGAGTAAGCATCACTTTGGTTCGTACAGTTACTAATCTCGTTCTTTTCATCTTAGCAGCCCCAATGTCCCTTTCAAATAGTCAAGAAGATGCTGGTGGGTTGATATTCACGAGTTTCTTCCTCCGGTCGTTGGTAGCTTATGCGTTCCTGTCCCCCAGAAGCCGAACGACCATTCAAAGCGTGCCGGCTGAAGTTAGTTCCTGCATCCGAAACGGTTTACAAGACGGAATCTCAAACAGGAGTGAGTATCTAACCCACTCCTACGCCGGAAAGTTTTAACGTTGTCTTCGAAGTCGGAGGGTCCTTCATCTCTTCCCACTCAGGGAGGGTTCATAGAACTAATATCTACTGGCAATCTCATCGCGGTAGATAAGACGCAGTATATTGAAGCTCTCGACAGTCAGCAGGTCTATCGTTACATGTTTCTTCGACCCCGAAGCTGGGGAAAAACGACCTTCCTGCAGACCCTCATCAATTACTATGACAAAGGGATGGAAAATCGTTTCCAAGAACTTTTTGGAGACCTTTATATTGGCAGAAATCCTACCACGGCCCGAAATTCTCTTCTGGTGCTTCGATTCGACTTCTCGTCAATCTCTAGCGGCACCAGTGTTGAAGAAACAAAAGATACTTTTAACGAGGCGATAAACACTGAATTATCGCGCTTTCTGCAACGTTACCAGGCTTTTCTGGGTGGTGATCATTCGAATTTATTGAAGTCCAATGCCACAACCTCGCTTAGGAACGTATTGGTCAGTATCACGATATCCCCTGCCTTTTACGCACAATCTCATTATCTATAGAATTTGGTAGATTCAAAAGGGGAGAGGCTCTTCGTCGGAGTCGACGAATACGATGCACCAGCGAACTGGGTCATTTTGAACGAATCTAAGCAAGACTACCAGGACATCACAACCTTTTTCCGGGCACGATTCTTCTCGCTTATGAAGCAATTCTCCCATGTTATCTCGAAGTACTGGGTTACTGGCATCCTGCCAGTGTTCCGGGAAGATATCAGCCCCCTCAATACCACCCAGATCATCTCGGATATGCCTGGATACAGTGGCTTGTGCGGTTTAACAGATATTGAGGTGCGACAGATCACTCAATCCTACCTCTCCTCATACAATGAACATCAAATTGAGGCTGCTATCAAGAGAATGAAGAAGTGGTACAATGGATACGTGTTCAAAGGAGAGAGGCATGGCTCAAAAGAGACCGTCATATGTTTGCATAACCCATATTTGGTCTTTTGCCATCTTCGGGCCCTCGCTGACGACCGGTTGTCTGCCGCAATACTGGAGGAAATAGGTGCCCCGCATGTGTCCAGTATCCTTGGTCGCATTCCGGACACAGGGGATCAATCGTTCTTCCATTCGTGGCTCCAAATAGTCTCTAAGAAAATGGACTTGAAGGTCACTCATCATTTTGGGATCGATGAGATTCGGAACCGTAACCAAAATTCCACGGTTATCTGGAGTCTCTTATATTATTTCGGAGTTCTCGCTTATGATGAACAGCGTCGTTACCTTCGAGTCCCAAATCTGACAATGCTTCATACGGTACGTGTGACTATTGATTCAATGCGAATATTCTCTAATGCTATTCAAGGTAACGCGAAGCTTCGCGCAATTCCTTGATCGAAGATTTATAGTGAAACCTCGAGGTGATGGTGTTCACATTAGCCTGATGCAAAGGGACGTTGCTCCTCTTGTCAAGCTTCTGGAAGGCCTATTCAAGGATGAACAAGCCCGTGCCATCAAAGACTTCAACGAAACTGCTTTGCAGATGACCTTAAGCGCGCTGTGGTCCAACTCAAGTCCTATCTGCCACTCAGAACTTTCTTTAGTCGCTGAACGTAACGCTGCGCGTGGAGAAGGTCGTTCTGGGTTTCTTGATTTATTCTTCCCCGGTTTATTAGCCCCTTGCATTGAGCTAAAAACCATTACGCTCGAGAACCTTTGGAGAGGGGAGAATGAGTCCCTACCACTCGATTCGGACGTGCCTCTGCAACAATTTCGGCAAAAACTACGTGATGAAACCGAGGAGCAGCTATTAGAAAGGAGGATATTCTACAATAAAGCCATCAAATCCCTCAGGGAAGTAAAACAAGAGGCTTTCGAACAGATCACTCGCTATTTGAACGTGATGCGAAATGGGCAGGCGAGTTCTAACCGCCCAGGGGTCAATGATACACGCATTAAACAGAGCGAGGGCGTCGGACAATTTCTTGGGTATGTCGTTATGTTCCTTGGCGGGACAAGGGCGCTTGCCTGGCATGTCTTAGATAAAGAAACAGACTTTGTGTTGACAGCAGTGCCTGAAAAGGATGATTCAACTCTTCTTTTATAACTTCTGACTGTAAACTTATAAACTTATTCTTAATAGCCTTTGTACCAATGTAATCGCTTCAACTCTAAAGTAATAGATGCCAAATACCGACGGACTAAGATCAGTTTTGGTTTCTCACAGAAGCTCCAAAAACCTGTCCTCTTATAACGAGCGCGCATTTGGGCTTGAGAGAATACATGTGTGTCGATACAACAAAACCCAGTAAAAAGTAGATGACTACGAAGACCTCAAATACTCGCCGTACATGTTTGGAGATTCCCCTCGGAGGTACATCTCCATTGTTCTCTTGATCACCGAAGACCAGGAGAGATTCCATCCATCCCGAGGTCCTACTCCCGTTCCATGAAGCGAATTGCTCCGTGTGGTACCAATGTCGGCGAACTGGATGACAATATCATATGGCATTCCTCTGAAATAATCTATGAGGGGATATTTCAAGTAGAGATGAAAGATACGTACGGAGCGGAATGAGCATGGTAGAACCACGCTCCACGGAAGAAGCTTGGCAATCCGACGGCCTGAGGAGATGGGCTCAGAATTGCAGTATGATCATAGAAACTTGCACCACTAAGGTGGGCTCGCATTAGCTTCTTATTTTGAAGAAATTTGGAACTATCGAGGAGCGTTTGGAACCTTTTCGCCCAATGTCACAATCCCCATGCCAGTTCTCAAACTCAACAAGGGCTCAGCAATCAACACAGTAATGTTGAAGATGGCCCTGCGACATGGCCTGAAACTAGATAAAGACTCGGTCAGGAAATACTCACGGGAGCTTGGGTTCGAGGAGATGCTTACACCTTTCCCGGATTTATTGGCGGATCTATCATTCTCGAGTTCGGAGGAGTATCAAAAAGGTCGTCTCCCCGTGCCTTCGCTGCCCTC